TATACAATAAGTAGAGCACACATCAAGCAAAGTTCTATTATCAAAGCAACTCCAATATAAAATAGTAAAATAAATATCCCATAGCAATACAGCATATTAATTTCAAAGCTTTCATATGCTTTTTTTCTTATAAACATCTCAAAACAACATATTAATCTTAATTAACATAGTAGTTGATTTCTTTTATTTTATTTTTATGATCACTTTTGATAAAAATAATGATGCATGCAACCAATCTCAAAGGATTTTTATCTCCTCTTATTTATCTCCTAAGTTTTCTTATATAATAGATGCTTAGGAAAAAATCTTCTATGTTTGGCAATAGGCTCATCATAGCTTGTTGTGTGAATTAAGTGAGATAAGACATAGTTATTAAGGTTGTGATGATGCAAAGTTATTCCATGACTTGATCAAACTCTTGAAGTTTATTATAAAAAGACTCCTCTTTTTGACATGAAGTTGACTTGTGCAACACAATTCTTAAATACTAGCTTATTTAAAATGCACAATGCTTATTGTTCTTTTGTTGTTGTAAAGTTTTAGGATTTTAAATTATTTAAAATCATTAATTAGTAGATTTTATATTTTACATAGAACTTATTTGATTTATTTATTTTATTGAGATTATTTACATGTTTGGAGTATACAAAATCTAATTGATTATACTTGAGTTACATTGAACGTCCCTCTTTATATTTGTGCATAAAAAAAAATTGTACACATATTAAGTAAATAATTTATTTTAATTATAATAATTAATAAAAGAATAGAAAAATAAAAAAATAAAAAATAACACAACAATAACAACAACAAGAATAACAACAACAACATAAGATCGATTTGAAATTTCAGAATTTTTTGTTAAATTCTAAATCACAATCACCTTGATGCAAAGTTGCTCATTATTTAATTTTTAAAAATAAGTAAAAAAGAATATTTGAGAAGACTTTGAAAATGCCTTTAAATTCAACTGATATGTTTCTAGATCTAGTCCAAAAATATATTTATATCTACTAACTCAGATATGAGTGAAAAAGAATGCTCCCACCAGCAAAGAAAACACTTAAAGTTAATGGCTCAAGAACAAATCATATTTGTTTGTAGTAGTTAATTTGCATACATAGATGAACTTAAAAGAAAGAATAGTTGAATCTATTGAGGGAAGTAACTGGTTGGCAGTGCAAATTATAGTATAGTATAGACTCAGCAAAGTCTCTATCATGACATATGTTGCACATGTGAAGTTGCTAAAAGACACAATTAAAAAACTATCTCTAATTTGGATCCAAGCACAACTAAGCATTGGAAAAACTCTCAAAACTCTCATTCCTATTTCACCACATGCATTTTCAAGGATTTTTTTTGAAAAAGGCCTTTCTCAATACTTAAAACAACCTTAGAAGCTACAATCTATGAAGCTTCAATCTCCACAATTTCTACGAAACATCTCCATCTAATATACTAATGTCTACATTAAGTGTTGGCTATCACAACTACTATTACATAATTTTAGGCCTTAAAAAGCCCGCTTTGCAGCAATAGACATTAGAGAATTTTTAGCTCCTCACACAATCTCAATTCCAATATGATATGTTGTACTACTATAAGATCTGCGCCTTTCATTCCTAGTGTTTGATGACAACTTCAATCTTGATAGATTCTCTACCATCTTTGGTGCACTGAAATGCATGCAAGTACACATGGAAAAGTTTGAGCACAACTTGGATACCATCGAGCTAGGAATGAACAAGTTGGAGCACCGCATAGACAACATGGAGCTCCTTACAAAGTAGTTGCAGAAGGAGGGACTGTAGGGAAGATGATATTGATCCTCCAAACTCATGCTCTCCCATGTGCAAAATGCAACAACCACATCAATAATATCATTTGCCTCAAGGCAACGGCTATTATTGCATAATTTATAATGCACATAATGAACACAATGCATACAATGCACAATTTCAAATAGACAGTTCTATGTAATGACTACTGTGAGTTATTTTGAGTTTGTGAACCAGAGAGTGTTGTGTAGCTTAGAGCTAGAAAGTTAGAACATAAAGAACCAAAGACTGAAAACACATTAAAACAATTATTGAAACTGTTCCTTTGCAAGAGTATCTAGCACAGATGTCAAAAATGCAAAATTAACACACTTTGCTTGATTCTTGATAGATAAAAGGTTGAGTTAACTTTTCTTTTTTGTTTCACTTTTGATAAAAACAATGAGGCATTCAGCCAATCACAGAGCATTTTTATCTCTTTTTGTTTGTCTACTAAGCTGTCTTATATAATATGTCTATATATATATGTATATATATATATAAGACTACAGGAATAAAAGTTAGGTTATACATGCAGGTTTCACAATTCCAAAGGTTCAATAATTAGTGATTTTTTCTGTTTGTGTTGTTCTGATTTTTAATTTTTAATTTAATTTTTGATCCTCCCAGCACTGATACATTGCATCTCATTTGTTTTTGAAAAAATGTCATTAAATGCATTACATGATGTGTTAAGTGAATTTGATTCTTATTCTCATTTTACTAATTAATGGTCCTAAGAATCCATGCAAAGTTATTCATCAATTTAACTAGAAAGTCGGATTTTGTTTGTTTGCTCCTGTTTAATTGAATGAAAGAATATCACTTCAACAAATTTCATGGAGACAAATAGCATCATTTTCCACAGTGATATGGTACAGTTTGGGGACATCCTTGTGTGTTGCAAACTTGAGTGCCAAGCTCCAACATGGACCATGTGTATGTAGTAATTAATGGGCACATAGAGAGCTTTTTCAGGAAAGAGAAAAGTAAGTAAGTAAAGTAAGTACATGTGCAAGTGTGGCAAGTGTGAGGGGAGAAGGAATAGGGAAGGGTGCCTCTCCATGACGGGAGTGAGTGTGCATAAAGCATAAAGAGAGAGAGAGAAGAGGAGAGGAGAGAGGAGTGCAGGGCAGCAGCCGGGGAAGGGGTAGGGGAGGGGGGGAGAGCCATCAAGAATTGCAACAAAACCACTTGAAGCAAGCACAGGACAAGGAAAGGAAATAAGGAGAAAAGGACGAGAAAAAAAACGGAAAGGTCAACAAGGAATGGAATGGAATGAATGAATGAATGATGACAAAGCGGGTGAGAGAAATGTTTGGTTGGAGCCCCCCTGTACCCACCCTTCCGTGCTGTTGCATGGTCCAGCGTGGCAACGGCACAGCAACATACCCCCCCCTCTCTCCTCCCCGTGGTCTGTGAGCATGTCAAGACCAGACAGGACAGGACATGACATGTGCGGTGGGACATTCACTCCCCCCTCCCCTGGTCTGGTCTTCGTCGCTGAGTACGTAATCTCCTTCGTCACCTGCGCACTCCCATACTCTTTCTGCCGTGCCTGCCTGCCTGCCAAACCCTAACTAAGCCTGAACGCAACCCCGTCCCCGCGCCTGAGAACGCCACGGAGATTGGAGACGACCGCGAACCAATTGGGAACGGGTTGATCACCCGCAGTTGGCCAATCCATCTCAGCAGAAGGGGAGGGGAGGCGAGGCGAGGCGAGGCGAGGAGAGGAGTGGAGGGGTCCTGAAGACGAAGAAGCAGATGAAGCTGGCAGCTCAACAGTGGAACGCTAAAGCCCCACTAATATGACATTCTATGCCCCCCCAGCAGAGGCAGACACGACGACGAGACGCTCCCTCATTCATTCATATGCTCGTGTCTGCTTCCCCACCCCGCCCCACCCCACTGGCTACACACATGGAACAAGGCAGGCAGGGAGGCAAGAAGGCGGGCGGGCGGCACGAAGTAAGGAAGAAAGATGCAGATGGAGGGAAAGACTGATGGACGGACGGACGGACGGACGGACGGAAGGATGGATGGATGAAGATGAAGATGGTAGGGAGGACGGACAGACGGACGGATGAAGATGACGATGGAAGGGAGGACGGACGGAATGAGTGGGGCGAGCACCGTGGTTTCCCTGGAATCCATCCATCCATCCATCCGTCGTCTGATGGGAGGCATGAGACGCACACTACAACGACTGCTACTCCCCAATGCCAGAGTGCGAGCCGGTCCCCACCGTTGAATCATGCGGACACCTCCTCCACTTCCTCTCATTATTATTAGAACAATGCCTCTTCCATCGGCACTAAGTGCGACTAAAATCAACTCCGCAATAATGCTGCCTGCCGGGCTGCGATTGCCCCCGCACGGCAGCCACAGCCATGCAGTCAGTAACGCAGGACGGAACAATACCATGGCCTGGAGGTCAGGACTCACTCCCAAAACCCTGCCGCAGCAGCAAAATCAGCACACACACGCACACACAACCAGCGAGGGAGAGAGTTGGGTTGGATTGGGGGAGCTGGAATGGAGCGGAATCAAAGGAGAGCTCTGGCTTCTCTCCGCCTGCAAGAGAGCGGTGGGCAGGCGGGCAGCATGCCAATAAAAAGGGGGTCCCGTGAATATGGTAGCGCCAGGTGGCAAGGGCGCTGAGAGGGCGCCACCTGGGGGTGCCACGAGGGCAGTGGGGGGGGGTGGTGGTGTTGGGGTTTGGCTGTGCCGTGCCGTCGTGCCATAGTATCATCCCCCCTTCTTCTTCTCCCTGTGAGAGAGTGGGTGGGTGTCGTGTCTCGTGCCAATCAGTGTCAGTCAGGTCGGGTCCAGGTTGATTGCAGCATTACCATTGCGATCTCGATGCGGGGCTCACATGGGCCCGGATCCCCCCCCCCCTTTTCTTGCTGTCGAATTCTTGCTCCACCCCCTCCCCCCCTCCGCCTTTCTTCTCTCTCTTTCCCTCTTTATCCGCTCCCCCCCCCCTTCCCCTGCAGGCTCTTCGGTCCCTTGAGCGACTCAATCACCGCTTTCGCACGCCTGTCTCCACTGGCGCTGATTGGCCCTCCGTGAGATTTCTTGGGGTCGGGGTTCACAGATTCTGGGCTCGTTTATCATGGCAGTGTAATAAGGTTTCTGTGGTCTGCACCTTCGTCCTCTTGTGCTCGCTGTTTGGTTTGTTTGCTCGGTTTCCCTCCCTTCTCCATGCTCTTTAGGCCAGAACTCTTCTATGTTAATCCGAGGCAACCATAGCTGCGGTGGACTTGGTTTCTGGGTGTGAGGTCGATTGCATGCATGTTTCTTTCTCATTCTTGTCGTGTTAATTGGTATTTGCTGCGTGTTTATGAGCAGCGAAAGAAGTCATTATTTTTGGTCGTTGGTTTAGTTTTGTAATTTTTGTAATTTTTGTAATTTTTGATTATTTTAGGTAGTTATCGTTTTCGTTCCCATCTCTTTGATTGATTACTTATTTCTATTATTTATTTTGCAATAGTTGGTCGGTGAGTGATTGCCATGTACCTGTAGTGAAGGCGAATGTCTGGTTACAGGGAAGTGGTGGACCGCTTCAATGATAGAGAACTTTGTCTTACGCTTTTCATAAAGTACTGCCAAGAGAAGCGTAGAGAGGTTGAAAATAGAATTCGTCGGGGCAATCAGTTCTGTTTTCGTTTTTTCGGAATGTTGGCAAGTGATGCACTGTTTGAGGAATGCTGTACTATGTTTCTTTACAGTGAAACAGATCTGGTGCTTTTGTCCGTTTGTTCAAGTTGGGGCACGATATCGTTCCCCAGTATCCATGCCTGTTAGAATTTGAGCACGAGAATATACGTCCACTTTTGACGTATTTGCTGAAAGTTTAAAGGTGGTGCAGGATATTTCTCCTACTTCTAACTGTGATCAAGTCCGCGAACTTCAGAGAAGCCAAGGAGGGAACTGAGGGCAAGCTAAACAGTGCGTGCCGTTTAGGCGGGCAGGGATGCTGAGAAGAATGTTGAGCGATCAAGTAAGTTCTACCACAGCGACGAACGCTGGTTCGGCATTCGCTTACAAACGCCTCCCGTCTCGCGAACGTTCACTCACTGAGATTCACGTCGAACGTATGAACACTGATTCAGGAGCAGGTCTGGTCTTACTGTGTTTGTCAATGTTCCGCAAATTATCAGTGTTTTGGGTCGTTGCTTTACTTGATCACGCTTGTCCACCAAGATCGCTACCTTCGTGATTACTGACCATCGCATTGTTGCACGCCGCAGTTTACTTGGAAGCTCCGTTGCTGTCTGGATCATCAGGACCAGGATGGCGACTATCATTTCCTCATATGGTTACTGCCATTCTAGCGGCGGTTCTATTTGGATATCACATGGGGTAAACCTTTTCTTCCACTTTTATTTGTACAATATAATCACTATGTAATGTCTTTACAGGGGTCCCATTATGGAAATTATTGTTTGTCGATTACGGTCGCTGCAATTGGAATCTAGAAATTCTATCTTTATTCTCTCTTCATTTGCAGAGTTTGTAGGGAGTTCGGATAACGTGTATGAGGGTTTTGCGTTTTTGGTGTGCAGAGTGGTGAACGCGCCTCTTCAACACATAGGAAAGGACTTATTATTTGCAGGCCACACAATTTTAGAAGGTCTATTCTTGACATTAATCATTTGCATTGCCTACGTTTTTATGACTAGTCTTCCAATTTTTGTGAGATAGACGCTACCTTCACGTAACTTCAAGTTTACCACGGATATTTTGACACGAGAGGCGCGGAAGATCTTTCCACTCACTGGATTTTCCTGGTAATAAACTCTGCAGGTTTTGTGGTTAGTGTAAGTTTGGCAAGTGCGTTCATGGGATGTGCACTCAGTGGTACAATCGCTGATGCTGTCGGTAGGCGGCGAGCCTTCCAAATCAGCTGTATACCTATGATTTTTGGTGCTATAATCAGGTAATTGCAGCACCGCAGAGAGTGAAATTTGCACCATGTTTGCTAAGCTTGCAACATTTGCTGTAGTTGGCATTGTTTACAGATGAGAAAGGATTACTGTTTCAGAAATTGACGAAAACATCTTTCTTCCTGTCTTTTGTATTTTTGCAGTGCGGTCTCCACACATGTTGGAGCTATGATTTTGGGACGCTTCATTGTCGGGCTAGGATTAGGGTTGTCCGGTCCGGTAACAGCAATGTATGTTTCTGAGGTAAAGCTCGTTTTATTCCTCATTTTGACTTATTCTTAACCTAATTCTCTTATTGTTTCTGTATTCTGAAATGTGTCACCTGTTGCAGATATCACCCACATCTGTGCGAGGCACGTACGGTAGTTTTATCCAAATTGCCACTTGCATTGGTATTCTCGCATCTTTAGTTGCCGGTCTTCCTGCTCACTCGATTCCTGGATGGTAAGCTTCTGTACTAGAGCTGTTAAGTTTGGACTTAATCCTTAAACATTGTTTATGTGAATAATTTGCGACCAGTGATTTTGTATTTTGTATTTTGTATTTTTTTATATTTTACTGAGCCCATTATTCATAGTTGACTGTGTCAGTCTTGATGAACGGAGTCTTGTGAATGGCGTACAAGATCGATTCACTAAGTCTACAGATGCAATCTAGGTGGAGGACATGCTTTTGGATTGCAGTAATACCTGCTATTATGCTCGCTATTGGAATGGAATGGTGCGCAGAAAGCCCGCGTTGGCTCTTTAAGGTGCCTAATTATACTGCCCAGTGACTCGATACTCTTATTTAATTCTTTATTCAAAAACCACGGAATTTCTTAAATACCAGTAGAATCTTCTTAATAAAATCTCACAGAATCGAAGTTTTATGATTAATGATTAGGTCACTCCCGCCAAACCTGGGGCTGTAAATTATCCTCTGATATTTTATTGGTTTCTTGGATTTTGCAGATTGGCAGAATAGCTGAAGCAGAGCACGAGTTGGAAAGACTTTGGGGTCCTTCACACGTAAAACAAGCTATGGCTGACTTGATTCGTAATGAGCAAACTCAAGACAATGGCACGACATCATGGATGGCCTTAGCAGATCCCAGATACATTAAAGGTACTTATGGAGCAGTACTGAGTGCATTTTTAAAGCCCTATCTTGGATTAGGTTTTTTAGTACTTCATGAGGGACTGGACCTATTGAGCACCAGTCATGTGCATCTCTGTTGAGCATGTTTCGAAACTGGATAACTTAGGGTAATTATAGAGACATGTCTGACCTTTATCATGGGTTTGGGGTGGAATTTGTGAGGCAGTGGTGACAATTGGTGCTGCTCTATTTGCTTTTCAACAGTTTGCAGGGGTCAATGCGGTCTTCTATTTTTCATCGACAGTCTTTCGACAAGCAGGGATGACTTCAGATGTGGCTGCTAGCGTTATGGTTGGAGTCGTTAATTTGATGGGTATTTGTATAATTCGACTGTGCTTCGTGATATTTCTCATTATTATTTTTTGGTTTTTAATATTTATTATTATTATTATTATTTACACTTTTCACTGGAAAATTATGATTTTCAAGATATGAATACTTGTAACTAAAATTTTGTGGTTTAATGTGACAGCATCATTTGTGGCTGCGTATTTGATGGATTCACTTGGTCGACGGAGTCTCATGATTATGAGCTTTTCAGGCATGGTAAGGTTTAGTGCTCCTGGTATGCGGGCCGGTTATTGGAATCCTAATTCGTTTGCCAAAGTCAGTAAGAGTTGGGCATTGATGGAGGTTGTCGAACTGTACGTGTTTTGAATTCTGTATGTCTAAGATACTTTTTACCAAACGTTTATTTATTTATTTATGTAAGTAAATAATTTATTAGTGAATGCAACTCTGTTCTCGAACGCAGGGTTTGGCGATGGGACTCCAAGCTTTTATTGCCGCAGTGCCTGCATTTGCGTCAGCTCGTGCATCTGCAGCTCTTTTGGGAACTCTGCTGTAAGTATTTTTGCTTTGATTTAACTGTACGGATCATCCTTTACTGACAGAAGGTTTTGGGTAGACGAATATCTATCACGTATTTAAATATCATGTTTCTGATTACTTAAGTCTTTAATAGACAGATTTATAAGATAGACACTAACGTAGCAATGGAATCGGCAGTAGATAAAATATTAGAACCGCGCAGTATATGCAGCCAAATGGTCTAGTACGTGGGTGTGATATTTTTGGATTTTCAGATCCTGAGGTGTTTTTCATATCTCTTTTGGCTCAGGTATGTCTTCATGTTTGCTTTGGGGGCAGGGCCTGTGCCTGCCTTGCTACTCCCAGAGATCTTCCCTGATCGGATTCGGGCAAAGGGAATGGCTGTTGCAATGTGTACTCATTGGGTAAGCCTTGGCTGTTTTCTAGCCTTCTGCGTGCAGGTCAAGTTTTTATTAACATAAAAAATTAGGAAAATTGGTTTGGTTAATTCGTTTTTTCATTGATGGTGAGGTTTTGCAAATAAATTCTATACACATAACTCGCTCTATGGACGAGGTAGGTTGATCCTTGTTGATATTGCAGAGTAATGGATGTCGACCCATTCTGATAGTGGTTGTCCATTCTGTGGTTAACTTTTAATTTTCAAGTTTTTTAAACCGATGGTACATGCAAATCTGCAGGTAGCAAATTTCTTGGTGGGTTTGACGTTTCTTCAATTTCTCAAAACTCTTGGCGTAAGCATTCTTTACACGCTGTTCACAACGATTTGTTTCAGTGCTGCTCTGTTCGTGAAACAGAATGTTGTGGAGACAAAGGGCCGGACATTGGAAGAAATTGAAACCATGCTCCTTCCGAGCATTTTGTAGATTGAATAGTTGCAACTGTCATCGTGGGCATGAATTTTGTTTTTTCCTCCAGCCGGCATCACTTGTACATGTCGAGTTACTAGAAATGTAGACAGGATTACTGGGGCCTTGCTCTTTGGAATGCTCCTTAGTTTTGAATGTAAAGAGTTCCTGGAAGGCAACGCAACCAGATAACCAGTAGTTGTAGTATTTCTTCATTTCATCGACTGCTCATTCATACATCTGATTATAAATAAATCATGGCCATATTCACTAGTCTTATGATAATTTTTTTGCCTGTGCCATGTCAACTAATTGTTAATCCAAATAATGATGAATATTGCTTGGACTATTCCTGTCCTTTTGCTGTGTACATAAGTCTCACAGGCATCCATGCTGTACCACGATTTAGTGAAGTACGTCCTTGTCTTCTTGAGAGCAAGTGTACTGTCAAACCCAGTCTTGTGTAACCATTCTATTGTTAATTTGCTCTTGAAATTTAAGAAAAGCCTAGCAATGAATTATAGACAACTACATTGATCTGCACAAGAAAAATTACCTAGTTGTCATAACCATGACAGAATAATCCTTGCATGCAATTCAGTATACTATGAGTATGAGAGTAAAGCTGGAAATCCTGAATGTTTTCTGATCAATTAGAGTGTATGGCTCAGTCTCAACCTCTTTGAACTACAAATTGTTTGAATAAAACCATACGACACAGCAGTACCTTGGTGACGAGGTCAAGGCTGAAATGTAATACCATAAAATTGCTCAATACACAATAAAAGTCAGATAGTCTATAACAGTCTAACTAAACACTGGTGACCGGAATTATTGATACAAGTTACAACGGGCTTTGTTTCATTTGATAATTCAAAATGAACGAACCCTGCTCAACCCCTTTGAGATGAAGACTTAGAATCATCAGTTCACAGCTAAGAGGGCTGCACAGAGGGTGATCGCAGAGGAAGACTACCATCACGGCTGAAGACGCTTGCTGACCTCGAGCGTACAGCATTCTGAGCCAGTCGTGGAGTACCTGGGGTAGTACTACCCCCATAGCTAGCTCTCAACCTTGCATCGACAGATGATGACGATTTCGCCATAGCCTTGTTCATAAATTTCTGTGCTGCAGCAGAAAATCCCGGTGCCGGGCTTGCCTGCCCGGGACCTCTTCCAGGCGATGGAGAAAATCTGGACGAACGAAACTTGGCCTTTTCCCTCAGGCTCCGAGCTGCATCTCTAGAGAGAGCATGCGCCCTTGCATCTCTAGTTGGTGGAGCAGGGATTTTAAAATGGGGTCCATCTCCATTCCCACCAATGCCTACTGGAGTATCTTCTATTTCTAACCTTAAAGGCGTTCCTTCAATCTCTCCCCATGTCATGAAAGGGGATTCATCCACTCCTGGAGCGGGCGAGGGAGTTGCCACATAACTGTATCCAGCACCAGGATGTCCAACTCCTTTTGACTGGCTGTCAAGCGCTTGTGGAGTTTTTCTCAGATCTTCAAGGTCATATCTTTTGCGAGCTCTCTCTGCATCCCGTTGAGCAAACGGCCACGCTTGGGGAGTTCCACCTGCAACTGGAGTGTACAATATCGCCACAGTATCTTCTTCTCGTACTTTTGAGTCGAACATCTTACCGTGAAAACGAGTGTTCTTCATTTCGATAGACTTCGGAGGGCCTTCTACAAGCTCCTCCTTTTCCGCTTGCGTTAAAGGAACATCTTCCCTTTCAGCAGAATCGTACATGAGCAGATTCTTAGCCCTGTACTTCCAAGTATCCAGAGTCGCAAAGGGCTGATTAGAAGTTCCAAATCCATCAGTGACACGGTCATCTGTACAAACAATACCAACACGAGGGATACAAGCTTGTCAGCCAACATATGCGAAAGGATAATAATTCAATACACAATGAGAAACACTCAGCCAGCTGCTCGCATAGAGTGAGAAACCACTGTGTCTACAAACAAAATATTATACTAAATTTCAGTAAAGTACGTCCTATTGGATTTCGCATAGATTTTGGAGGGACCATATCCAGAAGGGCCAGCACATATGACATCACAAATGTTCACATCAACTGATAACACGTTGACGACAGAAGCCAGGCTAACTTTCGGTGCAGTTGAGGTATAACCCCAAGTTAAATCAATACAACAGTTTAACGAAGAAGGCGTTGTTCCATTGCAAAACCCAGTATCCATCTAAAGTAACCTACGCAATGGGAACCTTCATGTGCACAGGAACCCGTGACATCTGGTGCTCATGATACGGGGATGAGAATTTTGATTATCAGCCAGTCAGAAACTTTCTCTCAAGGTTGAATTGAGATATTCTTTGTTGAGATATGGTACAGGGGAAACAATAACCAGCAGCGACTACACACTACTTGTTAAAAAACTTTCAAAAAAGTGATAATGAAGGATCAGAAAGCTTACTTGCATTCTCGATTCGCAAATTCGGATCCACAAGTCCTTTCTCATTCAGAAACTCATACTTCTGCTTCCGCTGCTTATTCACCTTTTCTAATATCTTGGAAAAACTAGCGTTGTCTTCGCTGGTATACTTTCTCAAGAAGTCATCAAGCTTCATATTTACATCTACGGAAGGTCCATTATCGACGTCACGCGCGCTACCTGTAGGCGGGAATAGGCCTGACACAGAAGGCGAGGCTGCTGAGCGCAATGAAACTGCAGGACTTGCTAGGCCGGATATCATCGAGGCTGGGGTATCCGGTATGTTAGTAGAAGGAGTTCCGTCTCTCTCCCCATCTTCCCTTGCTTTCTCCCTCCTCCTGCGGATGATGTTCATTTGAGCATCACGAATGATCACAGGATCACCGCTTCGAACAGCCTCCAACCACTCCAATCGATTGCGAAGCTTGGGTATATCAGGAAAAAAGTCTCGCTCAATGATTTGCTCAATCGCAGCAACATAGGTATCTTCGTCCAGTGGAATTTGCGAGTTTTTCCGTTTCCTTGCAGCAGACGTAAACCCCAATTTACGGTCAGAAGTGGAGGCTAACGCTAGAGCGTCATAGCCTGCTCTGCTATCTGTGCTCGGGGATGGCGAAGGGGGTTCAATATGGCGTGGAGAGTGTCCGGGTGATGCCAACATCGTTTAAGGCAAGAAAATATCTACAAGCTATATCCGATGTGGGTCGAGCGAGAGCTTCTCATAAAAAGAAAAACCAAACCCTAGTGCTCAGCAAAGACAAACTATGCTCCAAACATGTAAGTTCTGTAGCAACTCACTACCAGAAAATCACAAAGATCCTGCCACGCCCTTTTTCCTGCTCTCCTTTCCTGTTACTTGCACTGGACGAGGACGAAATAAGTTCCAATGACTTACTTCTGTATTTATAAGCCCTAATCCAAATGTCGAAATTAGAACATCCCAAATCTATCGATCAAAAATTGGTCGCTTCCTTCCAGAGGATAGAACTACTTCCAAGCGAGGAAAAGAGACAATTAACGCTCCACAACAACAACGAGAGCTTCCACAGCCCAACGAGATACACACGAGAGCCTACTTCAATACACGCTCCAAGTCTTGAAACCGCTCTATACCTGTAAGCAAACCCTCTGCGACCCTTGGCCCGGCCGCGCTGACGCACCTCGACGAATACGAGAGATACCACAAGATTCTAGCAAAGTATTGAAAATGGGTGGCTGGCTATGGCGGAGACAACTAAAGCTCTTCTGCAACGTAACAACAACAATGAACTTGGCAGACAATACGATGACAGACTCAAGTATGAATGGACGCAAAAGTGAAAGTGGAAATGAGTGCCGCTGTGGAAACGACGGATAAAGTAAACGCAACCGCCAACGCAAAGATAAACGTGAATGGATGTATGTGGACTGGGGATGAAGAAGTGGAGAGAGACTCTAGGGCAGGGTATCGTCGAGGCTTGGTTTTGGCAGCAGAGTTATCGCGTCAGGATTTGGGATTGTATTGCGAGCTTGCAGGATAATCGTTGCAGATGGCTATGACGACTCAGCTGGGTTCGGCGTTGCATGCGCAGGGCTCAGAATTGGGAGTTTTCCAGGGGTTTGGAAGGAACAATGGATACACAGTGGAACGGGCTGTGACCCAGGTGAACCCTGGATGTGCTGTGAGCTCCAGGAGATGTTTGGCTGTCACTGCTGAAAATAAGTATAATATTAGGGCTGCGAAGAAGGGCGCACCGCCTATGATGCCTGCCGTTCTCACCCCTTCCGGGCCCGTGGACTTGAGTACTCTTATGTTTCGTAATCGAATTATATTCGTAGGATCACCGGTGAATTCTGAGGTATGTGTTGTTGTGTTGGACTGCATCTTTGAGTTATTTGAGACTTTTCCACTCCAGGGGAAGTTTTAGTATAAAGGAAGGAGCTAACTAAATTGAAATTCCGTTGGCTGGTTTTGCTTCGGCAGGTGGCACAGTCGGTCGTTTCCAAGCTTTTGACCCTAGCAGCTATCAACGATGAGGAGGAGATTAAAGTTAGTTCACCTACCGATACATTCCAGAGTTTGGTGTTGTAGTCTTGAGCGATGTATGAGTTTTTTTTTTTTTTTTTTTTTTTTACTATCACTTCAGTTGGCGTCTGCTTTGTTGTGCACTTTGGTTGTGGTTTAGAGTATATCCTCATGCGGGGAAAAGTTAGTTGCGGTTTCGATATGCCAATTACAAGTCTCTCATGCAAGTTTCTGGAAAGTGCAGATGTACATCAATTGTCCAGGTGGAAGCACTTATTCAATTATGGCCATATATGATGCAATGCAATGGGTAAGTCTCTCATTTATTGTTTACATAGTTCGTCCATTACAAGTATGCATTTCTTTCTGAAATCAAGTCGATGCTGGTTGTGGAAAGCTCCGCTACTTTTGATGAAGTTATTGGAAACCTGTAACACTTTCAGTTTGAACTACAGACTCTCTTACTAGTGTGGATTGTTTTTGTCAACACAGATAAAGCCAGATGTTAGCACTGTATGCTTTGGTATAGCTGCTAGCCAGGGCGCGTTGCTTCTTGCAGGAGGCAAGAAGGGCAAGCGTTTCGCAATGCCAAATGCTCGTATTATGATTCATCAACCGCAAGGAGGGTGTGGGGTATCACTTCTCAACTATTTTTATCCTCACGGTTGCTAAGCAGAAATTATACAAATTCAATCATGCCTTGACTCCGGACCGTATTTGTTCTCCTTCATTTTAATGTTTTCCGTCCTCTTAGGCCGTTATCTTCGTTCTGATTATCACCTTTACAGTCTTAATCAATTGTGCCGTCCCGTTAGTCTTGCAACATGTGTGATAATTCTCTTCCTGTTGATCTGGGCAGTTTTGCTGCAGCTGGCAGCCATTTATTTTTGTCGTGTCTTTGTATAACACCCTTCATGCTTTTTGGGGTTTGTTGTTTGACAGGGAACTGCGGACGATGTTAGAAGGCAAGTGAACGAAGTAATGTCCTCTCGTGATGTAAGTCATTTCAGTGCTAGTTTCTCTACTATTCTGGATTCGTTTGATTTTAAGCACTAGTGGATTGGTTCTAGACATCGTCATTTTGAATAGTACTGATGAACAAGAATCACTGCAGAAAATAGACCAGATGTATTCTATCTTCTGCAATCAACCTTTGGAAAGAGTGCGGAAATTTACAGAGCGAGATTACTTTTTTTCTGCGGCCGAGGTACATAAAGCTTAACTACAAATATTTAAACTTGGACCAATTCACCAAAACTGTGACTTTTCTTTTGTCTTTCTCTCGGTTTTTTTAAAGCTCTTGCAATCGTGATTTTTGTATAGATGCTGTGCTTATGTTGTAATGTTTGAGTTTCGTTGAAGTGTGTTTCTTTTCCCTCTCTCAGAACCTCATAACCGAGATATTGACGTCCCTCATGGTGAATGCAGGCAATGGATTTTGGACTCATTGACGGTTTGTTGGAGACAGAATTTTAAGGTTCAGTAATGGCCTTTGCCCAACCGTCATTGCAGAGTCTTTGTAATGTGGTCTTAATTGAATCTGGTGGCAGTTGGAGGCTGCGAGAGTTCCATATCAGAGCAGGAGTAAAGAAGCAATTCTTGATTTCTGCTCTAGGCCATGTATTGTATTGGACATGAATCTCTTGGGAAAACGTGTAACACTGGAATTGCATGGAAGAATTAGTTGTATTTGGAAAGGTCTTTTTCCATTGGTTTTTGTACTACATTAAAGACTAACAATATCCTTTTCATAACCTTTTATTATTTCTATCAATGTGCATCTGTAACAACATAAGAATGACCGGACTTCCTCAAGTCTCTCAAGCTCTCTCTAACACCAAGTCAACATCAAATGTCCACACCAGACATCTAGAGTTTGAAATCATATTAATCTTGCATGAATGAGCATGAAATAGCATTGCTAATCTCTCTCTTTATGTGTCTAAATTTCTCAAAGAATGAGCTCTTCGTTTTTTTGATTTGACAGCTGAAGTTTTAGTTTTAATTTTTTTTTTTGTATTGGCTATTGACAAATTTCTTTAATATAAAGCACGAATTAATGCTTCACTTGAGTAGATAATTATTTCGCACTTAAAAAACAACCAAATATGTATGTATGTACATGGTTTTTATGTTTTATTTATTTTCTATTTATTTCATGAGTTCTTAATACCTAAACAGTGTTATTATTACTGAAATTTAATTACAAAGTAATACATATTTTACATGTCTTGTGATAATTTTTTTTGTATTACATGCTCAGAAATGGCCTTTAGGATATTATACAAGTTATGAGATTTTTATGTGAAGCAAAATCATGTTAATATTGTTGAAAATGAATAGCATCAAAAACTTAATTTTCACAAAGCTATTGATTGATCTTAAATATACTCTCTTGATTTTTTAAATACAGATTGTGTTTAAATAAGACAGGCTAAAAAGTTTGAACATCTGATGTAAACAGTATTTTGATATGTTTTGCAAAAATTCCTAGAGATTCAAACTGTTTTCAGATACTGATCTACTAGATACTTAAAATAAAGAGACTATTTTCATGTAAAAGGATTATGTTTTATTATTCTATGGCTTAATGTGTTAAACTCAAGGAATATTGATTAGATGCACTTTGTAAGAACAAATTTACAAATATGTCTGGTTGTGACAAGTTGAACAAATTTACCACAAGAATAGAATAAATATATTAGAGACCCACAAACATTTAAATAAGAAAAAAAAGAAAAAAAAGAAAAAAGACATACACAAATCACAAACGTGCATATAGAAACCTCAACAATTAAGTACACTTTTATACAAACTTAGACCTCATGTGTGAATTAAATTGAATTCTTTCAAAAAAGAAAATTATATAATTTCTATATAAATTTAAAAATATTTCTATTTAATGAAACATATTATTAACTATTTCTTACAATCATAGATAAACAAAAATTTAATGAAACATATTATTAACTATGCAAATAATCATGTTTAATTATTTACTTATTGATATAAAATATACAATGTGGTATAATAACAATAAATAATAATGATAATTTCATAGTTAATAACATTAATGATAAATAAAAATGTTGTATGTATGTATGCATATATATATATATATATATATATATATATATATATATAATATGTAGAATGTCAATTAATAGATTTTTTTTTTGCATGAATATATAATTATTCTTTAATATGGTATAATAATATTTGTAAATCTATAAACCATATTCTTATAAATGTCCTTAGTATTTGAAGAATGATCTTTACATTGTGTGCTAGTCGATCTTAAGTTTTAATAAATATTAGTGCAATTACAAGTTTAAAAAAACTTATTCATTTAAAGTATTAAAAATAAAATTTTCAACATTAAAATTTGAAAACTCTCAATAGAATTTTGTACGCTTTATAATTTTTTTTAAAAATTTTAATATTTAAATAATATAATCCATGAGCTTTGTAACAACCACATGCAATGCAATATAAATTCTTTAATTCAAAAAAATAATTTTACTATTTATACAATAAATTATTTTACTTTATGTTTATATTGTACTAAGAATAATCTTTTTGACTTCTAAATATTAAAATATTGTGATATATATATATATATATATATATATATATATATGAATACATGCACTAAAATAGATTTTAGTAGAAATTAATTGATGTAGATTATAAAGATATTTTTTTGTAAAAATATTAAGTTAAATTTTTAGAATTGTTTTTTTAAATACATGTTATAACAAGATTAAAACCAACCTAAATCTTCTCTATGACCTTATTGTAGTTTGGTCTTAAAGTAAGATCTTTTAATTTCTTATATTCAATATTAGCTCTTTTAATACTTTGAGACTATAAGAATATATTTATCTTGATCTTTTTTGTTTTATTAGTTTCACAAAGCCATACTTTCTTTACTATGTTTGTCTAAATTCATGTTTTTGATTATTTAATAAGATATATATTTTAAATATCAAAGTTTAATCTTTGTAATAAATATTAGATTAGGTTATTTTTAAAAAATAATTAGACCATTAATTTTTTTTTAAATAATTTAAAATTTCCATAAAAAAATGTCTCACAAAAGTCAATGCAATACAAGATTGGTGTTTTAGTAAAAGCTATCTTCAAAGCTTTAAATGCTACTTCAATTTCTTTGTTCCACTCTAGTTTGTCTTTACAAGTCAAACATGTAAATAAATTTGTAGCTTTAAAAAAGTTCTTGATAAAAATTCTAACTACCAAGTTAATGTTTTTTTTTTTCTACTCTAAGAGTAGATTAAAAAAAATCAAATAAAAAATTATAAAAAATTTCTAAAAATTTTCAAAAAATGTCATTCATTAGATGTTGAAAACCAATTTGTGGTGCATTTATGAGTCTATATATAATATTCCAAAATTTAGAAATAAAATTCATAAATTTTTTACAATATATATCAAATTTTTAAAGAATTAAAAAGAAGAAGAAGAAATAATTGGACTTTTCATAAGACTAATGTTATTAAAATTAAATAAAGTTCATAGTTTTTATTTCATTCCATTTTTATTCTATTATTCTTTTTATTTTAGAAAATAAAAGTTTAATTTTTATCTTATGAATATTTTTTTTAACATTAAAGATTTATCTTTAAAATAGAATCATTTTAAAAAGATGCTTATAAATTTATTTCAATTTATACTAATACAAAGAATATTATTACTTTTCAAATTTTAAAATAAAAAAGACTTCCCAAATATCTCATGTAGAGATTAATATCTTTAAAATAAAAAAAAAAAATTATATTTTATAATTTAAAAATTTATATTTCTTTTAAAATTAAAATAAATTCATCTTTAGTTTGTATAAATTAATATTTCTGTTGACTTTGTATATTTTTATGGAAATTTTAAAAATATTCTAATTGACTATATTACTTTTTTAAAATTATAATAAATAGTCTATTTTTTAAAAAAGTTATCAAAAAATTTTATATTCCAAAAGATATTTACATATACCAAAAGATAAAGTAAGATTATGTATTCTTCATGCACAATATGACTTTTTTTTTTGCAATACATTTTAAGTAAAAAATATCTTAAGAGCTTATTTTAATAGATTTCTTTAACATCATATAAGAAGATCTATTATTAAAACTATAAGAAATTTGAATATTTTTTTTAATAAATATTGTGTATCATTAATACAATGTAAGAAAAAAATGTTTGTTTATTTAAAATACCTGAAATTATCTTATATAGTATATCTGATAAATAATATATTATCTTTAAATTTTTGTCAGTGCATTTTGGAATAGTGGTTTTCTTAATTAATACTTTGTATAACAGCTATTACAAGTAAATAACAAACTATGGTAATTTTTTCTAACTTTTTTAATATCTGAAACTAATACTATATGTATTATTTTTTTTGAATATCAAAAAATCCTTTTTAAGATGTTAAAAGTAGAAATTAAACTTTTTTAACATTTCATCTTTAAATTCATAGTCATGCTTAATAGATTAATTAAGTACTAAAACAATAATTTTGTTGTTCTATCAATCATTATTACAATAATCAACTGATTTCATATCATGAATAATTTTTTTTTACAATATATATATATATATATATATATATATTTTAAATATCATATATTTCAGCTTTGGTTAACATTTTATATTTAATTTTTTTAATTTTGTAATAAGATATTTAGCAATTAGACTGTAATACTTTCATAAAAAAAATGTAACAAAACAAACTTAAAGTTTAAGTTTAAAGTATGTAATTTAAATTGAAGTTTAAAGTATGTAAGTTTAAATTAGAAATCATGTATAGATAATATTCCCAAGGTATTTCATTTATTGAGTGAAAATATTTCTACTTTATATGCTTCATTTCCATAAAATTTTAAAGAAATTCTTATTTCAACTCATGACAATCAATTATCTTCTTTCAAAATCAACATCTAACAATTGATGTTTATCTTTAAAATTTATTACATGGTTAAAAATTACAAAAAAAAAAAAAAAAAAAAAAAAAAAAAACTGCTTAATTTTAAAAAATTATTCTTATAAATTTTCTTCTTTAACAAGATCCTTGACTTCAATTTTATATCCAAAGATTTCAAGATCTTGCTTTGTTTTCCCAAAAAAATATTTTTTAGGTTTTATGTAATTATATATTATATATTGTAGAAAATTATTATATAATTATATATTGTAGACAATTTGTACCATCAAAAGGTGGTTCTTCTTCACAACCATTTTCATATATATATTTTTATATATAAGTAAAAATATATATTTGGTTTTTTTTTCATAATTTTCATAAACACGAACCTCAAAAAATCTTACTAGTTATTATATTACTAAATTAAAATATTATAATTTCACTATTCAAATGATTTTTGAATTCTTTTGATTTTCTAACTCCACAAGTCTCAAGTATAACCTTCAATGAGAGTTTGTAAAATTGCATGAAATCTACAAATCAGATTAACAAAAATAATATAGTCAGAAAAAGTTAATAAAAAATAAAAAAAATTAATAAAAAAAATTTGTATTTATAACCATTGATATATATATAATTTTTATTTTAATGGTTACTACTTGATTTATTATCATATCTAGATCTAAATTTTTGAAGTAAAAGAAACCTCATACATGTTTTATATTTGTATTAACTTCATAAAATCTAATAAATATTTTATTTATAACAACATGTTAGAATTGAAGAAATTAATACGTTTCTATTAAAAGATCCCCCAATATAAATTTCTATATTCCTACCAAGTTTTTAAAATTTTACAAAAATAAGATTTTTTTTGAAGAATTTCAAATAATCAAATATTCTTTAATCATTAATGTAAGTTCTATGTTACAATTAATGCTTTTCGAGCTCATCACTCTATGTGCATATTTTTTAAAATACGTGCAACAGTCAAAAAAAAAAAAAAAAAAAAAAAAAAACCTATGTTGTATCAAAATGGCACAAAAAATTGTTTCAAAGGTATAAATATCTGCTTTAATTTTATAAAAGGTTTTTAACTATTTATTTTTAGCTTCTTTTTCTTTTAGAGTTATATTATCACTTGTTGTATTGACTTGTTGTCTTGTTGGTACTTTATGTTTATTCAACTTTAGATACACCAAATTTAATCAACTTTATTTGTACATAACTATATTTTTTAATCTTTGTATTTTTAGAGTCTACAATTTTAATATTCTCAAGCTTTATGAACCATCTTCATGTCTTTGAGATAGCATATTTAAATAGCAATTTGTATCATGGTATCAATTTTGTTCAAAGATATTGTCTTAGAATATTCAATACAAAAGAACATGCTTACAAGGCCTCTACCACCTTTCTTCATATTAATTAAAAAATTTCAATATGTTTTGGTAATAATATATATATATATATATATATATATATATACACAAAAAAATATCTTGATGACATGCTAATGATTAATGCTTAATGATATAAGCTTCTTTTTGTGCAATGTTAGTTGAATATTGACCTTAAAAAGTTATGATTTTTGTAATAATTTTAAAAACTAGTCATGTATCATATACATCCGCTCCTCTATTAGTCTTCAATATTGTGGAATATTTTTCAAGGTTAGGAGGAGGAATCATTTGTAAAAAGGAAAAAAAAGAAAAAAAAGAAAACCATCATATCCATTGATTTGTTTAAAATTATTTGGTGTAAATGTTTTAGTGTAATATTTTATTTATTGATTAAAAAATATATGTATAGAATACAATAATTTCTTCTTTACACAATCTTTTATATGACTGATTTTCATCTTGCTTAGTTTCTTTCTAATCATATAGATCACATTGGTTGCACCTTAAAAGCTTCAATTTTCTACATAACCCTTTTCTTTGGAAACTCACATAGTAAACTCATTTTAGTTCTAAGTTTTTTTTTATATATGTCTCCTTAAGTGTCCTTTCTTGAAAATAATCTCTTGACCACACACTAAAGAACCTGCCACCATTGACATTTCTTTACAAAGAATCGAAACAAATCTTGTGATATTGGGCAAAAAATGTCTCTATTGGTCTCAACACTTCGTTTTGCTTGTTGCTGTTGCTTTTCTTAAGTAAAGGTTAAATTGGTACACGCCCTTGCATTGAAAGAGTCTATTTTCTGTTTTGCCTGTCTTTAAATTCTGCACTTATAAATTTGATGCTCAAAGAAAAGTGGTAGACGTACATGCAAAAGCATGTGTCAATTGGCCAATTTATGCAATACTGTTTATCTTTTTTCTTCTCTTGTTCTTCATTGTTTCTATATTTTGATATTCGTCGCAGTGACTATTCCAGAGTTTGAGTATTTACGAATGTTTATGGTTATTTAAGGTATGATCTGAATGACTTACAAAACTGTACATTCCATGCACAATAACTGCGTACTGTCTAAATACTCAATGACACTGCATGCAGTTTGAACACGGCAATTGAAGGCATAAGATAGTGGGGAGAAGAGGTGAAAAAAGAGAGGAGATGCTATGGGAAGAATTTTGAAGGAGTTTGTATATAATACACAAGTATTACATTTAACCCGATATAATTCATCAGTTAAGTATTCCACAAACTATTGCGTACGGTTGAACAGCTGAGAATATCTCAAATGTAAAAGAATCTAAATTACAATACTGTTCTTTACAGGGCACAAATGGGGTGTTAGCAACTGGGTCCATGCAGACGAACTCTTATTCTGCAACTATAATTACCCAGATGCCTTGCCAGAAGAGGTAATGTCAGCCCCACTCTAAAATAGGAGTCTGTCCACAACAACCAGGTAGAATATGATGACAGAACGACGCGTGTATCCAGCAGCTCCCATGAGATACCAAATCGTTTCGTTTTTGGTTCGTCTTCAAATTATAACATGATATAGAAGCTTACGCTTTTCTTGCCATCCCACCTTAACAATTGGCGCACATGGCTAGTGCGGAAACAAGAGGACCAGACCCAACAAGCAGAATTTCTTGTTGCGACAAGTAAATCCGCGACTGGACAACTCATGCTCTGCTTAAACTCCAAACTCAAAGAGAACCAGAATTCGCTAAGGATGAACCTTTTTTAGAGAGGTCAGTAGTCTGTACTTGGCGAGCGCAGAGAACCTCTCCAAACCGACGAATGTGCTGAAGAAGACGCTGCAAAAAGGAATTACGGCTAACTGTGGTGCTGTCGCAGACAATAGTGACGTGCTTTCGAGCCCTCGTGACGGCAACATTCATTCGCCTGTTATCCCCAAGAAAACCTACTACACCAATATTGTTCGACCTCACCTGCAAGAATTAATCAGGAAAATCAAATACGATCACCAAAGACCACGATACTCAAGTGAGTAAATACACGAAGCTCGATTCAAAGTCCAACACACTTCACTTCCAACCAGCACCAGAGCTAGTAGTACTTGAAACCCACATCAAAAATTACTCATTAACTTTGCACTATGAGAAACCTGATATAATAGTTTTCCTTTAAATGAGGTAGGAAAAGTGCAGTAGAAAGTAGGTCGCATTAGTTTGGTCCATTGCTTGTTATCGTCTGTAAAAAAATTAGAAGGTTGGCAAATACATAAGGTACAGGCGTAATGATTAAGGAGCATTACCATGGATACAACTACAGCGTCAGCTTCTCGTCCTTGAAAACTGTCTACACTCGCAACTTGTACACCTTCGGCACCTGGGATTTCCTCAATGCGATCACATAACAATTGAACCTGCGCCATGTAGGGCGATTGTACGGCAATTGAAGAAGGTTCAACACCTGAAGATATAAGACAGTGAGATTTAGAACGAAACATATCCAAAGTGGAAACACCCAGTTAGTTTCAATGTCTAATACTATCATGAACTAAAAAGCAACTGTGTGTAAACACTCGCGAAGTTTGACTTCACAGTTTTAAATATAGGCTGGAGGTTACCTGTCGCCAGTAATGCGCGAATGTGATCGACCACAATGTCCGCCTCGCCTTCATTATAAAACGACCCAGTACCCGCTGGATCCAATCGCTCTTCACATCCTGGTATCAGACTTCCAAATGGTAGCCGAGTATCTAAAAGCAACATAGGCACCTTCGTAACGGGAGTATCCTGCCAATTGTACATGCAAACTATGATGAGACTAGCTCTTATCGTGGTCCACAGCTTCAGATTTCAGGACTACAAATCACTGAAGCATTCGATCAGATGCATCCAAAAGGTGACCAGAATCTGACTTGCATACTCTAATCATCCAAAAAACTAGAAATCCACGAGTAAGCGCAAGTCAACACAGGATACAGCAAGTAAAAACCTTCACTCCTGGGGTGTCCCGGAGAAGGTGTGATGCTACAGCCGGAGCAGAGCGTAAGCTGCCGCCATACATCTCGTGTGACGCCCAATCGGCAATTGCACTATGCATACGATACTGCGTGCTCAACATGGTGCTCAGCAGGCCACTATGCAGATTCCCAGCTCGTTCCATTAGAGAGACACCTAGACCACCATCAAGGGCCGTCCGTGACATGATTGTGGGTGCAAGTTGAGAAGCATCGCCAGCTAAAACACAACGTCTGCCCTGTAGTAGAGGAATCCAGCAAGAAGGCTCTATTGCTTGGGCTGCTTCATCCACCACCACAAGATCAAATGCTTCTTGTTTGCGAATCAAGGGATCACCAGCTCCCGTATTGGTGCAAAGAATAACCTAAAACAAACAGTCAATACGTTTTTAATAACAATTGTCAGAGGTCCTGGAGAAAACATCAATTTATTTATCAGTTTATAAACTGAAAGTCTGCTTTAGATTAATATTAAAATGAACAAGTTTCAAGTTATCACGTCTACGTCGCACAGGTAGATTAATCAAAAGGACCTGGATGATCAATGAACGTATCTTCATTACATTCACGTGCATTGATTCTATGGGTTATATAGCATGGGGATTCGTGCTAACCGAAATTCTGATCGCAGTATTTTCCAAGTCATTTAAATACAAAACCGAGCAGCTATTATACGCACCTGTGCAGATGACAACGCATCATTGATAGCCTCTTTTTCTTTTTGTTTTAGGGACTTGCCTAGCTGCTTCAGCACTTGTCTGATTCCAGCAGCTACTGAGTCATTATCGAGGCACTCCCGCAGATCGCTACGCAAGTTGGCACGCCTCCTAACCAGGTCTCCACGAAATGTTGTCAGACTCTTATCTACAATAAAACTCAAAGAACGTGAACAGACTGCTGGAGCTACCCTGGCAGGATTTCCAACTCGAACAACATTTAGGCCTGCGTTTGCGAGCCTTTCAACAATATTATCCACAGCTGCATTTGTGGGAGCTGTTGCGAGTACCCGCTCTCCACGCATCACTGCCTTCTCTATGAGTTCTGTGACTACACTAGTTTTTCCAGTACCTGGAGGTCCTTGAATCACAACTACAGGTCTTTTCCTATCTAGCCCCATCTCAATTGCTCGTTTCTGAGACTCATCTAAACGAACTTCCTTCAACGAGGATTGCTGAACAGGCGAAGCAGGCCGTAGAGGTCCATTTTGAGCCAGCCAACATATATCTGGACCTTCGCCAAACAGAGTAGCTACTACTGCTGCGGCTGGATTCTGTCTTTTTAGCCCATTTTTTTGAAGTCGCTCCAATGCTTCGCAGTCACGCTGCAACAAGGAATTTGACGATTCTCAGCGGATCGAAGTAAAAAGAAACTATCCATAGTCCGAGTTGAGTGAATTTTGTTTCACTTCATGCAGCAAAGCACCGGTCAAGAATTGACAAAATAACCCTCCATTTCCAATTCCCAAACCTTCAATAACCGAGTTTACTGGCTCTGAAGCTGATTACGGATTCTTTGTTTTGAGCAAGGACTCGAGGATTCAAAATCAAAAGGCACCATAGTCTCTATACAACAGCTTCCTTAAGTGTCCTCCGTGTCTAAGCGGCAGTGGACACACCAATAGACTTGTATCGACTAATATCACTACAAACGAAATATGAAAGTGGTCGAGGATTTAAAATGCTACTACAAACCAGTGAAAGGTGGGCGAACCTGATATGTAGTAGCGTCAGCAAGAGCACTGATGCGGTCCAGGCGTAACGATTTTCCGAATAACCGAGAGAAGGTGGGATCTCCATAACGAGCCTCAATGGCAATCGCGATGCTGTTGTTGTCCTCTGCTAAACTGTAAACTGAGCCCCGCATACATTCCATAGTTGACCCCCCTCTCCTCCTGTCAGATATGCGAACACATACCATGTCACCGGGAGAAATTGTCGTGGGGGGCAGATGTCCTTTCCCTTCCACTGACAAAGTAACTAAATGCATGCCTCCCAAACCTGCGGTGTTCACATCGTTCTGTTGAGTCAGATAAGTCATTTGAAGTGTAAAGTAATATGAAGTACTTCTGCAATCCTCAACCTAGTTTCTTTTGGTGAATTAGACATCTTCAAGCTGAGAAAGAATGAGAGGTGGAGTAATGAATTCTAAATTTCACTGTATTTATAAACCCCCTCAGATGGACTATTTTTTTCTAAATGGAGTAGAATAGACTCCGGTAATGTACCTGTAGTAGAGCCTGTAGCTATCAAATTGGTGATAGAATCACAACTTTCAAGTGCTTGCTCATCTCTCTTGTCTCTCGGCGCAATTCCAGAAGAGGTTGGAGCACTGCCAATCGCAGAAGCAGCTCCTTCGAGAGATTGATGCGTAGCTTCTAATTCGGCATCTCTCTCAATTTGTAAAAGTTCGAGACCTCGGGTCACGAATGAGTCCACATTTGACTGTATCTCAGCAACCCGTTCTTGAGATAGTCCTAATATGTTGTGAATTTGGTTGGGATCTTTCACTTTCCTAGCGACTGCACGATGTTCACCTGTACGACAAGGATACATAATGTCAACTTTAACACAACTACGTTCTGAAACAGCGCACTAAGAACCAGCCTAACCCCTGAGAATTCCAAATACAGAAACGAGTTTTGGCATCCATGGAAGTTATACCAGACTTTGCGAACTTCTTTAGGAGCTTCCAAGACTCAGTGTTCTGCCAGTTATCTAGCTTTCCTCTCTCCTGCAGCCATGATATCAAATGTCGGTATTTGGAAAAAGTTAATTACATAGGAACTTTCTGAACTCTCAAAGATATGCAATTTAAGGCGGCAGAGGCTTCACGAACATAAAACATACGGAAGTATTCGTTAACAGCTAGACTCATACACCCCTCTCTGATGATTGGTTTACTGCCGGCAATCATGAAACTAAAGCTCTGCAATGAACATATACGCGTCGCAAATTGCCACTATGATCGTCACTACATACTTCGTTTTAAGCGGGTGTGACGTTCATTCCAGCAGTGATAGTGAAGGTTCTGCAACAACCAATGTAGTTAGAAACATTCCATAGCAAATTTCTACAAGCGTGCACCTGAGAGGCTTGCAAAGCAGCTCGTAATTCCCGCTGGTAATGATCGAAGATGGTCGGATAGTGAAGGCTTGCTCTTAAACACAATGGTTCAAGGCCCTCAGGCATGGGTCTAGCAATCAAGTATGGCTGCGCAAGTGCAACGAGGTTATGGCCTGTCCCCATGCGCTCCTCTGCCAGCTTGATTTCACCTCTTTCCTGGGCACATGCAACTTCTCTCACCATGGCAGTGACGCCTTCCTTCAACCAATTGATTACTGCTTTGCCCAGGACTTTTCTCCCGAGTGGATTACTGAATCCAGCATTATCTGACATAATTACATGATGTTGGTTATTCACAAGATTACACCCAATTTCGTGACAAATTCAGGATACTGGCAGCACCACCGAGACATCTTTGGAGGAACAGAGTGCATTGATAAGAATGACATAACGTCAAAATTCTAAATTGAGCACTGCGTACTTATGGCTAATCGGACTTATCGACCAGACAAGTTACATCTGACTATTTGATTATTGCGTGGTAATTGAATTCTTTTGTGTATCGAGAGGTCCCAGCTGGCGCCACCACCTTCCAATGAAATTCCACACGTCTCTATTCTTACAGTTTCAGTGATCTTCCTCGACATACCTGATTGCAACACTGCATTCTGATCGTTCTCTGACGACACTTGAGAGATTTCTGGCTCTCCTGAAGTCTCCACTTCGTCGAAAAAGACTGGGACAAGAGAGTTGGAAATCAGAGCTCGGAGATCGTTCTTCGAAATGTCACTAGCTACTCCGGCTCCCGTGTGAGCTGCCGCCACATTTTTTTTGCTTTTCAAAGACCTCTGTCTTCTCTTGGAGTAAGGTGTTTTCTTCTTAATTTCCCTAGCCGAGTGGTTGGACCCTTGTGCACCGCCCTGACTTCCGGGGTTCCCGGCAAATGCAACGCATAGGAATGCTGCGGATCGGCTTGTTATGGTGAAGCCGGATGTTCGGGAATTCAGGTTCACTAAAGAAGATTTATGCTTTGAGGAAAGAGATTCCCCACTGCGAGAAGAGAGAAATTCACTGCCCAATACTCCTGGATTCGCCAATGCCGTTGCCATTGTGAAGAACTAGTAGTCGGACAGTCGAATTGCTTGAGAGAATTTACAAGGATATACAAGTGCCGGTGGTAGTTGGCGAAGAATTTTTAGTCATGAGAGCTCGATTCCTAGCTCCACTTGCCCCGCCCCAAGTTCAACTCCACAATTCCACACGTTCCCATGTATTTTCGACAGCGTCGTCAAGCACCTTGTTCGAATTCCCTTCCCCTATGCTTCAACACCAGCCCATAACACGTTTTACTTGTTGCAAAGGAGGCAAGCCAGTCCAGTAACATCAAAGTCAGCTGCGTCATCCTCATCTGTAATAAATTAATTTACAAACGTATACATAGCTTGTTGAATTGAGACCTCACGAGTTCTGCATACTCACATCTGTCACGGAACAAATGATTCGACATTCCCCAAACACACTTCACCTGTAGAATTTGAGACCCATCAGCTCTCCCACGTCGTGATGCTCAGGTTTAATAGTATCTATCTCTCACAAATTCGCAATCACACATACACGTTTTGAACACTGATCACTCAACAACCCCCTACAACAGGAAAATAAATACAACATTCCAATTGGGGCTTAAAGCTCAAAATGGCCCGTCCATGCTCGGTAAACTGAAGCTCGTTCCAGGCTCCACAATCGCAGGCACAAGGTTACAAAAAGTTGCAGGACTCCTATGTCTCTTCCAGCACTAGAATTCAATCCGTGGGTCTATCACTACTATTACAATTAAACCATCTAACTCACCTTGAGGAGGAGGAAGAGGAGCAGTAGCCTCCCACCAGCTTAAGCGAACACAATCCACACGCCGATTCCCTGCGGACAATAAGTAATCATTGGAGGCAAGACAGTCCACGAGCACCTGTACTAGTACCTAGTGTGGGAGGGAGGGAGGGAGGGAGAGAGGGAGGGAGATACTTTGGGAGATACTACAGATGGTTGCTGTTGCTGCGGAGCAAGTGATATCAATATCACTCTCTCGAGTGGTGTGGATTTGGCAACGCGCCGCCACCATCAATCGCACTTCAAATGGGACCTCTCAACAGCCCTCCTCGGCGGTCCAGGCCGCCTGAAATGTACGCCCGCACGAGAGGAGGGTAAATGGAGGGGAGGCGAAGATGGGCCCTGCAGGAGAAATGTGCAGATGGGGGGGAGACGGGAAGAACGCGGAGAAATATCTGGTCCGGGGGGAGCGAGGGGAATGGGAATGGGTGGAGTGCGTGTTGGTGCCACCACATGTGGAGGGGCCTCTCTCTCTCTCTCTCTCTCTCTGGACTGCAGGGCGGGGGTTCGGCCACCCAGCCCGCTTTGCTCAAGCCCACATACCATCCCGTCTTGTGACGTCACCCCGTTCCCAAGACTGTGGCGAATGTGGATGGATGGATGTAGGGACGAATGAATGAGGGGGAGGTGGCCCTGATCTACTCCTCTCCCTCTCCCTCCCGTCTCCTGGTCTGGTGTTTCCCCTTTCCTCCTTTCCCCTCTCTCATGTGTTGTTTTCTCTCTTAAATTTGCAGAAGCAAAGAGGGATGTGCCCACTTCAACACACATTCATGACTCCATAACTCCATCATCATCAAGATGATTTACCAACAACACACGCACACGCACACTAATCAAAGGCTACACAAAATGGCTACAATTAAAATAAAATAGATAAATAAATTAGAAGAATGAAGAAGACGTAATTTTTAGATGAACGTTTAAGGAATTATACCAAGAATGTGACTTATATTCTTGCATTTCTCTTTATCTATTTGATGATTCTTATTCTTCATTTCACTATAATAAGTAAAGGGTTTTTATAAATACATGCTTCTATAACTATTTTGAACCTGATGTATATGTTTGGATAAATAATAGATTTCAAATACCAATAAATTGCTTGAATACAAACATAATTGTCTTTTTAATAGACCACTTCTTCTTCTTTGACATTTTATTTATTTTTAATTTTTAAAAATAATTATTTATACATATTAATAAATAAAATATATATATTCCTTGAGCATTGCAATTTTTCTCTATAATTACAATGATTGAAAGAAAAAAAATCAGGAAATCAAAATACGCATATTACTTCAATAAAAATACGAAAATTATATCATCTGAAAATGAGTAAAATTATTTCAGGGTTTGTAACAATAATTTTTTTTTTATAGTTGCATACTAGTTGAAACTTGCTCTATAAATATTTTATAGGATTTTAAGATTTCAAAATTTATTCTTAACTCACATTACAAATCCAGATATGTGGGTCAAAAAAAGAAGAAGATAAAGAGTTAATTGTTTCTATTTTCAAAAATCATAAACATAGACATAAAATATATTTCTATAAATGCTAAATATAATCAAACTTATATATGCGTATATATATGTAAATATGCTTAGAACTGAATTCTAAGTACATACCCTTTTTATAATTTAAAAAAATATCTTAATCAAGTCCTTGAATATAGATCATAATTTTTTTTTAAGTAATTCTACATAATCATAAGCACATCCTATAATTCTAAAATAAATCCCATTAAACCCTGCAAAAAACTATTGACCTTAAAAATCTAAAAATACCACAATCAGATTTTCAAACATTCTTATTAAACTCTAAACAAATCCTATCAAATTCTAAAGAAATTTTAAATTTCTACCCCAAGTTTTTAAAAATATGTATTTTAGCTTTAATAATGTGTTGTGATAATACCATATTTAGAATTAAGAATGAAATGAAATAAAAATCAAGAATTAAAAGAAATAATAAAATTATTATTTGGATAGAAATATCATTTTTTGAGATTTTAAGAAACATACAAGAATTTGGACAAGTGCTAAATAGAATATTTGACAACATGGTAAAAGATTTTATATGATAATATATATATATATATATATATATATATATAGTAAGAATCTGAATAAGAATTTATATAACATTCACTAAAAAAAATTAATTTTAATTTTAAAGACATTAAAAAAGATTTACTTGAAATAAAAACATTTAAAGAAATATATCCATTTTTAATAGAAAATATAATATTAAATATGAAATAATTGAGACGAAATATAATTCATGTGAAAAAAGAGCTTTAGATAAAATTAACGTTTTATCATTAATTTTTAAAAAATAACCTTAAATTATTAAGTATTTGAATAATTGATGTTAAATTATAAACTTAACACAAAATGCTATAAATCATGCTTTGGTATTGCAAAAAAAACAATTGATGATTGCGCATGTTCTTAGACTTAAAATTTTGGATATTAACAGACTATATAAAACACCATGACAAAATCAATTGTATTCTGTAAAAACTAAGTTGCGTAGCAGAGAAAGATAATAGAAAAATATTACAATGGCATATATTACTGGTTCTAATTAATTTTTTCTCAAAAATTATTGAATATTTCTAAGATTTATTAAAAATTGATATAAATACCAAAATTAAATTTAAAATGTTTAAATAAATAAAATTTAGTGGAAATATATTAAATTTATATATTTTAAGAAAATTTATCTATTATATTTTTTTTAAAATGAAATATTAAAGACCTTGCAAAAATCTAATTAATTTGAATACAAGTAAGTTTACTTAGTAAAAGAATAATTTTTAATTAAAGAGAATATGTGACATTCACATAAAAATAATGTTAGAAACTAGAACTTAATAATAATAAAAATTATAAAATCAATTCTAATATAATAGAATACAAACTCATGAAAAATAAAATGTCTTTTTTGATTTAATAATTCTTATTTAAAAATATATTAATTATATGACTATATCTTGTGGTAATTTAGATGTGAACAATTTGGTACAAAATACAGTGTATAATATTTGCAATCGTTTCAAAAAATTATAGTTTTAAGAATATATTATTAAAAAATATAATTTATGATTACCATAAATAAAATTTGAATAAAATGCACTTATTATTTATTCTTATTACATTTTAATACTATTTTATATTAAATGTATTAGAATCAAAATCAGAAGTGCTTTTAAAATAATTTATACTTGAAATATTAATTATTGTATTACAGTTTATTATATATTTTTAATTTTCTAAAATATTATATATATATATATATATATACATAATATGTTTTTTTATAAAAATAATGTTTCTAATTTTAATTACAAGAAGTTATATCATATAATTATCCTAACTAGCAATAGATTTCTCAAATCACATTAGATGTGCTAGTAGAAAACAATACCTTAAAAGCATTAAAAAATATACTTTTTGATGATGTAATTGAGTTTCTATGAAAAATAACATTGATTTATAAGAATAAAATTATAAACCATTTTTATTTTTATGTAATGTATTAGTTAGATTATGAAAAAAATTGGAGGATTATTCTAGATAATTAAAAAGAATAAGTCATATAGTAGAGATAAAAGAGTTATTTTAATGCTTTTTATGTGATATTTAATACTATTTTCAAAATTAAATTTAAGATAATTAACATTATTTTATTATTATGTATGAAATAAATATTAAAATAATTTTGAAGTTTTTATAATTTATCATAATTATTATTAAAATACTTTTAATTTTGATTAGTAATAAATAATGTTTACTACTATTAAACATAATGCAATGGTGGTACTACAAATGATTAAAAGATATCTTGATTCTACAACATATCTTTATGTACTTGATTTTGTATTAAATTTGAATATTATAATTTTTGGTTAAAAACTACTTGAAAAAGATATATATATATATATATATAAAAGAAAATGATAAAGCAGCCTAAATTTTTACTTTCAACTAAGTCTGTCTTCTCAGCTGTTTACTTATTCCCAACCATTGCTTCCATTCCCAACGTTCCCAATCTTAGCAATGGTTGGGAACAAGGAATGATTGAGAATATGGATAGAGACTTCAAGGGTTCAATGATGGTTAAGATAGAGTGGGTCACTTTAGTAAAAATTTGGGTAGCTTTATCATTCCCCTACATTTAACAAGTTATTAAATTTAAATTCCTTCTAACATTTTTTTAGCTACAAACTTTATGATTCTAACAAGGACCATGTTATAGTTTGTGCTACATTTAAAATATTTTAATGTGATATACTTATTAATGTCTCCACTTATTGATTTTGATAATATGTTTTTCCTAATTATTTCAATTTTTAAAAAATTATAATCATTAATTCTAAACTGTTGTCTAAACAGAATATGTTGGCACACAATAAATACTATATATACATATAAATATACACATATAATTAAATGAAATGTTATAAAACAATCAGCTCACAAAATATATCTTTAGATCATACATATCCATAAGCAGATTTTAAAACGTCATTTAAAAGATTATTGCTGGTATATCTTTCAATACTAAAATCTCCCAAGGCTATGCCACATTTATTATTGATACCGAAGTTATGAAAGATTTTACAATCATACATAATATTCTAAATTGTATCTATATTTTATATTTGCAAAGACAAAAGTATGTATGTTTATAAAATTTCTTGTAAAACCCTAAATGCTCGTTTCAGAAATTTTTGTATGATTTTATACATTCTTAAATAATTTTCAATTTCTTCCTTTATGAAAAAATACATTATTTTGAATAAAAAAATTTACTATAAGCAAATATCATGTGTCAAAAAATATTTTAATTATATAATTCTTTTTTTATTGATTGTTGATTAAAGATTTTAGCATTTACCTACAAATAATTTTCTCACTAAGAAAATACTTACAAGACAATTAACATTAAATTACCTCACTAATTTGCACATCTTTGATTATCTCTCCTTCTGCAACAACACTGTCAAAGGTTAAATTGAATGACAGTGCCAAAATGAACAGAGTTGAACAACAAATTGAGGTGGAATTGGTTATTGAAAAAATGTGAAATTACTAACTTGTATATATTGTTGTTTGACAATGACAAATAAAGGAGCGCTAAGTAACAAGTAGGGTTCTTATATTTGTACAACCCAATGTATGCTTGAGAAACTGATCCATGCCAAAGCTGCCATACCGCCCATGGTACGCTTCCTTGATACACTGTAAGTGGAAATAGGTTTAATAATGTTACCACATGAATGAGGCATTGCCGAAAATGATGACAATAGACAAGCCATTGATGTCCATGGGCATATCGAAAATTGAAAAGAACACGCACAAAACAAAGTGACGTTAATTTTTCCTTCAAAAACTTCCAGGTCCATCATTTTAAATTGTTGGAGGTACAGGTATTGTTGATAAATTTCCGAAGTATTCTTCATTTGTACAAAACAACAGGACAAATGCGACTTGTTGCTAATAACCACTCATAGTTGCAACCTGCAGGCAGCCAATGATCAATTAATCCTCAAGCCATACTGCAGCGTGATCTGAATCATACAGAGACGGGAGGCATTCTTCACATGCAAACATCAACGAATAACTCAGGAAATACTATTCATGGCTGAAAGTTTCCATCCGATGACTTCAATTTATTCGAGCTTGAGGATGTCCAAGCTTGCACCTTACTGCGTAGTTTCTTCGTAAATTTCCATTATTCAGAGGTAGCCATCCCCGTCAATCCAATAGAGAATCTCCAATTGGAGAGATGGAAGTTGTGGATTGAGATATTAAATCAAAGTTGCGAATCCTGTTACTTTCCAGACAATCGGCATGCATTACAGTACTCAAGATGAGTCAATACTTCTAGAGCTTCATTTTTATCACGGAGATGTTTGTTCCACTGCCCAGAAATATTGTACAGGCTTTAAATCAGGATAACCTACCACACAGTCGTCATTTTCAACACAATGAATGCCGCCTACGAACTTGGTTGCTGAGAAATCCAGCATTCCTGATTTGAGCGCCGCTTCATTCATATGATACACATGTGGACGGTCTAAAATATTGGCACAAGAATACATTATAAAGACGAATTGAGGAACAACTCGATTCCATCATGCGTGTGTATTGAGTGAACTGAAACAAAGGAAAGATGGATTTTACCCAGGTGTGGATCCACAGTGCTTTACAAAAACTTTACAACAGAACCAACCCCTGTTCTACACCTTGATCCAGGCCCTTCTTGATCATTCTCCTGGGAACCTGCAAAAGAGCACAAACTGTTATTTTCATGATAAAATATTTATTTAGGTGAAGATAAACCAGCAAAAGGTTGATTCAAAAAAGAAAGGGAACACTGAACTACGTGGACAACTCTGACAAGGCGGTGGCAGTAAGTTTGACCTCGCTAACATAGTTGAAAAGAGATAAACTCACCTAGACTATGATAGCAAGACACCCACCCCGATATGCTTATATCTGAAAATTATATTGTCCAGGTATAACAGGGGATAGTCGTACTTACCATGAAGCATTACACAATAGAGCTTCACCAAGCAACTCCTCTCGCAACTGTAACTGTAATTTAATCACTAGAGAGATGCTTGTCACAGCGCATTCTTCCCTTGAACTTCAGTCCGAGGCCTACTCCAAATTCACAATTGCTGGCTCTAGCTGCATCAGCTCTGATACTAAACACCCTTGCTGCCGACGGCCACGACTGTTGCCAGATACTCTACAAAACCCGACAAACCCTTATAGGAAACTACAGCAAGAGCTTACTTGGTGTCCACAGGGGACCATTTAATCCCACATTTATCGATGGTACGAAATAAAGAACTTTCGCAAATACTGTCGAAGTTCTAGAGCAGGAAATCAGGTATCGAGCCAGAATTCTGAGAGTTGGAAACGGGGCTTTTGCCCGGACGTCGGCTGCGTGGATGAGAAGATCGATGTTTGTGTTTCTTTTTGTGTGCCTTTTCACTCAGTTTGAAAGTACCTTCACTTTCGTTTTCACTGCTAAGTCCATCATTGATCACATGGATTTCGAGTTTCGAGGGTCTATGATGTCTGCTTCTTCTGTGCTCCCTGTGAACAACATTTGGTGTTTGCGAGTCAGCTTCCTGACCAACACCATCCCCAGCATGTATCTGAATTTCATCAACTCTAGGATTGGTGGCATCTCTGTTCTTCGTGGAACGGTGACCATGTCCAGACTTCCTTGAAGAAGAAGTACCTTGAGGGGTTTCCAAACCGTCAGCTGCACTGTGGCCCTTATTCCTATCTGCAGAAAGAGCATCTCGTATTGCCTCAAACACTAACTCATCCTTCAAACCCTTTTTGCTCACAGGTGTGGAAATGCCAGGTAAATCATCTTCATCATCTAGTGCAACAACTGCTGGTCGGCGAGCCTTGGCCTGCCGAGGTTTAGTCCACACCAGGGAATTCTCATTGAAAACTGATGAATCAGTTGGTCCATGTGACGTAGATGCTGTAGTTGCAGCAGACAATGTAAGCTGAGCAGGCGGGTAATCAACAACCGGTGCATCGCTGGGCAAGTAAAAATTTTCATATCTGTGACGATGCTGCTGTAACAAAGCAGCGCTTGAAGGATCCACACCAGAAAGATTCTCTTTACTGGGGGGTTGAAAGTTGAACTCAGCTTCCCATTCTCGATATGAGGTGCTAGTTTTTGCCTCTCCAGTGTTCAAGAGAACGTCATCACTGCCACAAACAGGGCCTAGAGCATCAAGATTATTCTCGATTAAAAGGTTCTCAGGCAGGGGAACTCTTCCCTGAGCATGTACAGAGACAGGCCCAAGATCCAGTGAAAACACCTCGCTGAGGGCGGTCAGCATTTCAAATCCGTCTTGCACTCGATGTATATCGTTGGGATCCTCGAAAGGTTGAAGTTGACCCAAAACGTTACATGCCCTCTCCTGCACTTCCATGTCCACACTATTCATCAAAGGGGTGATATTCTCTTTGATCAGCTCCACTGCCGCATGCAAGGACCCACGCTGCGTAACAACCTCCTCTTGCTCCAGGACTTCTTTCTTTGCAAAATACCTGTGTTGGTAACTGATTGCATATGATACAAAAACCTTCAAGACTGTCTGGAGGTAGACCGCATGTACAGAGAAATGCAGAAGACGAGTGCGGGGTTGGAGAAGAGCCTCCAGAACCTCATATGGTCCGTGAGGTGCCCGTGTAATGTGCTCCCCAACTATCCAAGCTGCCGCACAGAGGGCGCCTTGTAAAGCAGGTCTCCCCAGAAGGGCGGGGTCGGCAAGGAGCCCACAACATGCCCTCACTACGTCCGTTCGTACAGATTCTACTCTAATTGCAACGTCCATGAGTTGCCTACCTACTTCACCTCCATGCTCACTATGAGGAATGCAAGCGATGTCTGACAAAACTGTTACATACCAGCCGAAGTCAGACACTATCTCATACCGAGCCCGGCCGCATGTCTGAAGGATAGATGACAACAATTCGTTGCAAAAGCTCGCATCTGCTGACTGGGCATAGCGGAGAAGAACCTGCGTACCAACATAGAAACTGATATCAGTGCACACTTGAGATAGTTCAGTAGTTGGAGACCGTACTAAAAGAATAACGACACTGTTCAAAAAATACAACGATCCCAGGAGTAATGCGCACTAGAAAAGCCATTGGAATAGTAGAAGTTCTCACCTGCACTGTCTCTACAACGTTGCTTTCAGAAACCATCCCCATAATAAGAACAAGCGCTCTCCTCTGAATGCTTATATCTCCGTCATTCAGGCACTTGATGATGACTTCCTTGCTCTCAGCCAGAGCCCATGGATGGGAATCCATCAACGCAGCAAGAGCCTTCAGACCCAGGTACTTCAAATTCGGATCTCCAAGGTCCATGTTTTCCCTCAGTTTCTCAACACATAGTTTCACTGCTCCTGTGTGATCACGCAACCCAAGCGTGACTGTGCGTATGCACTCAAAGAGCAGCGATTTGGCATGTACCTTCCTCATGAGATCGCACAAAGGCCCTGCTATTTTGCGTCCCAAGCGGGGTTCAAGGGGAGTCAAAGCTCCAAAGATTTTCACTAGCTTAATTGAAAGCCAATTGTTGGAGGACTTGTCCAGTAACCTGTAAAATTCGGGTGCAAGAGGAAGGTAAGCCCGCGGCTCTTTCAAGGTCAATTCACATAAAACGCTTACTGCTGCACACACTACCTGTGGATCCGCGTCATCCATCTTCTCCACAAGCCGTTTGAAGGCAACCCTGATTGCGTCTGGGTACTTCACAAAAACCCTGAGTAGCACTAAGGTAGCCTTTTTACGTATATAGCTCCTGCTGCTGGCCATCAAGGTAAACACTTCAGGGGTCAGGGCGGCTGCAAGATCCGCATTTAGAATCCGAGACAGGCATTCGATGGCCAAGCTTGTCTCATACTCGTTCTTGCTTCCTAAGTCCTTTTTCAGCAAGTTTGTGGTGAGTACCAAGACATCCGTGCCTTCATGAAAGCTCTGCGACGCTGCGAGGTAACCTACTTTCTTGTGTGAAAATCTGGTCATAGTCATGACCTCCACTGCACAGAACGAGGCCCAAGACATGTCCGCTCCACAGGCCATCTGCAGGTACGTAAGTTTTTGAAGAGCAGTCACCTTGATGATAGGGTCCGTGGACTTCATCTCCTTCCGAACCTCCTCCAACGCTTTTGCCAAGTAACGCGACTCGCCTACCATTTGCAGCCGCAATCCTTTCACAAGGTCGTCTAATGTCCTCTGGAATAAGGACTCCATCATTGCCGACGCCATAGCTACTCCAACTTCTCCCAACCCTAATTATCGAAAAGTAAATTGCCCCTTCCCGAGAGAATCTATCCGCAGCCCGGAATTTTGGAACAGATTGATAACATGCAAGTACAGACTCTTAAAATAAAATTCGCTACAAACACAACCCCACCATGTTTCCATTAACGCTCAAAAACCCCATAGCAATGAATGCACTGCGCACGAACTCCATAAAATGCAGTGTATCAGAAACATCACGAGACTGAAAAATTGGCAAAACCTAATTGGGCACTAAAAGCCTCGACCAACAAGACAGACACTAAAATAGTTCTGGCAGCAGCGATTCAGCGCTGAGGAACGATCGCCGGGTGCTGATGAGCTGGCAAACTCACCGATATCTCCTCCACGGCCACAATCCAAACACAAGTCGAATCACGAAACAGCCCGATGTCCACCTGCTAATTAATTAGGCTTGCGCAATTGAATAAGCGAACGAGAAAATTCGTAAATCCCAAGCAAAGGGCGCAAATGAATTTGTCCAAAACAAAAGGTGAAGAACTGCACGAAGGAACATCACTATCGAGCCCTAACTGTTCACACTACAAATTTCAGCGATCCTGAATCTATCTAAACATCCATGTGAGAACTGCAATGCAACACAGTCGATCCACGCTACCAAAGTAACACGATCTACATACTGCACAACGTCAGAGAGCCCAGCAGAATCTTAACCCTGAACAGGAAGAGAACGTGCACAGCAAAAGCCAAGTGCCCGGCTTGCAAAATGGCGGAGGAGGAGGAGGAGGGATGCGAACGCCCTGCGCGACAGATAGACAGACAGACACAGAGAGAGAGAGAGAGAGAGAGAGAGAGCAGCAGCAGCAGCAGCAGCAGCAAAGCAAACAACAACAACGCCCCCACTCCCGTGATCTAGTCTACGCACTCACGCTCTCACGCACTCTCACTCACTCCCTCACACTCGCACTCACATTCGTACTCGAAAGACTCACACCAGAACCTCCCTCCCTGCTGCTCCTCCGCGGTGGACGTGGTGCATCCCCCCACAGCTCGCTAAGTCCCGCAGGCACGGTGCCACGACCCCCACGACCCCTGTGCCCGCTCGTTGTCCCTCTGCTGCCACCTGGTGCCGCCATCCCCGCGGCCATGGGGCACAAACAGACAAACAAGTAAAACACATGATTGAAAATAATCTGAATTATCACAACACACATTATTCTTGAAAATTTTAGAAATGAACACTTACAATTTTGATTAACCTGAAGTTTTGTCTTGAAAGAAAGAAAATCGAAAAGTTCATAATTTAATAAATACAGTTCAAGATTCTAGATGAAGATAGTAGCTAAGTCACACTTTGCTACAAGGATTCCACTTCTATTAATTTAAATTTATGTTTCTTTAGTGAGAAATACAATGAGAATTTACTATGTCACAATCAACTTGGAATGGCAATTTCTCATTTGCATGATGCAATAAAAATTATTTATATTCATATTTTCAACATTTTTTATTTTGATATTAAAATTGATGATCAACATCTTTTTGGAATTTGCAAATCAGTATGGAAAAAAAAAAAAAAAAACAAACAAGAATAGAATATATTTTCAGAAAGATAATTTTAATTGTCTAAAATTAGTTTATAATTTAGTTTATGATGTTATATTTATTTTATTTGTATACTATTATTTCAAAAATCCAAATTATGGTTCTTTATAATTACTTTTTTTAGTTCATATTTCAAATTTCAAAAAGTGTCATTTTAATATTTCAAAATCTTTATTTTCAACATTTGGCCCTAGTCCATTCAGCCATAACTCAAGCCAACTCAATGGCAAAACTAATACCTTGCTTGAAATGCATGTGATTTTCCTCTCTTTTTCTTCATCTTGGCCAAAAGTAACAACTTCATCCATCTCCTCTGCTGTGATTCTACATGTCCATTCTCCCTCATGAGAAATTATCTCTTCGACCTTGTATTTCTCCTCCTCTCCAATGTGATGTTGGTCAAAGGAACCCTGCAAATAGATACTCTAGTGTACATGAGAGATACCTTGGCAGCTGCACACCCTTGCAATGAGGAGGCGGATGTATTTTGATTAGTTTTGTGGTAGCCAATGAGTTGTGATTTGTGTAGTAGTCGTAGGAGTGGATTTTAATGTGGAGTGAAATATGCGCTTCTGACAACTGAGGGTGATTTCATTTTGCAAGAGGAGTGAAGTGCTCATGTATTGTGGTGTTGATCTCAAGCATGGTACAATGACTACTAGCAAAGTTCCAAATTAGAATGGATGTTTGAACATGTTTTTAGGGTTCTCTTAAACCACTTTGTTAACCCCTTAACTACTCATTTTGTTCTATGGCCTATAAAGTGAATGGATAAAGTGAATGAGTTTCATACATCAAGGTATTAAGCTCCAAAAGTTTTGGTTGGAAGTGGGTGAAGTCAAAATTGATAAAATTAAAAGTGTGCAAAAATGTTTGTAAATAGTGGTGAATGGATGGTAAGAAAAATGAGATAGAACATTGATGATACTTTTATCATGTGTAACAAAGTACAAGAGCCATGTATGCTAAATTGTCTTGATAGTAACTTGAACTTGATTATTAGTGCAGATCTTTTTTTAATTTTATAAACATGATGACTCATGGGTATGGAGATATATTTAATTCATGGACAATGGTTAGATAGCAACTTAGCCTTAGTGAGGGGAATATAGATTGAAAATAGAATAATATATAAAATTAAAAACAAAGCAATATAATTGTACAAATAGAGCTTGGCTAATATTATATGGCTATTATCCCTTGTATAGCATATACATATGTATCACAAGGTTGAACTTGAATGAATAATCTATATTCAATTTATTAAATGAGTGAAGAGGTGGGAGATAAGTATTGTGGACGAAGTGATTTATTTAAGGTGATTTTGATAGAAAATAAGTGTTGAAGATAGGACAATGTAGAGAGTTTAGTGAGATGTCACTTACATAAAATATTAGAGAGTTTTTATTAACACCACCCTTAATCCAACACCTCATATCATTGATATATATATATATTGTTATTCTTGTTGTGTTCAAGCTTCAATATACCAAAGCAATTGAACTAATAGAAGTGGGTTCAAACATGGGAAAAGACTAGTTATATGAATTAGGTTTGTTAGTGTCACAATTGACTGTACTCTAGCCATCTAAAATCAATTATCAAACTGCAAAACACCAAGGCTTACTACTTCCATCTTAATTCAACACATAATCCATTCTACGAATATTAATTCAACAATACTTCCATATTCTTATCAGTTCATCTTCCACTTATTTTTTTTGTAGTTTCTATATATATATATATATATATATATTCAATTATTGATCTCTAGCTTACTTATTATATTCAGTTTCTCAATTCATCACATAAAATTCAATATCTTCACTTAACACAACTTAATTCGATAATCTCAATTCTCAAGGTCATAGATTTTTTCCAAAACGGTCAGTCCAAAGTCATATTCCACAATATTCTAATCACAGTTTCAATAATACTTCTATCAATCACAATTCTTTATAAGCAAATAATAAAAGCAAAGAAAACAAAGAGGTAGTACCAAGCTTATCCCGGCTTACAACTCTCATAATCTGACCCCCTGGCTTATGACTCTCATAGTCTTGCCCCCTTGGCTTACGACTCTCACAGTCTGGCCTCGATCTGCCACTTCTCAACCTCTTTATCCTACTAAAAGATGGAACGTCAGCCAGCAGATTCCAAAGGTTATGATCCTTTGAATTCTTAACCATTTGTTCCACTAACATCCTACTGTTACTAATTAAACTACCTAACCATAAGTCTAATTCTCAAGGTTATCAATAACTAATGAGTAACTTATCACATAATTTATTTACCTATTCTATATAGTTCCACTCCTAATTATGCAACATCCTTGCAAACATTATTTAGCCTCAACTTATAAAGACGTAGCAACATTGGCTTCTTCAATCAATAGCATTGGCTTACTACCCTTTGAATTGGTGACCTTCTCCTCTGCTATATCTTCGTTGTCTGCCTCGATATTCGATGGTTCTCCATCCAAACGCGCCATCAGATCTTCATTCAACAAACTCAATTCCAGTACCTGAGACTCAAGACGGCAATTTGATTGTCGCACTCTTCCAACATCTTCTACCATTCTTCTGTCGATTTCAAAGGTATCTCCAAAGGTGTTGTCACAGAAACTGGCATATTGGTCTGTACTAAATTATTGGCCTCCTTCTCTAATGTGGCTAGTTTAGTCTGCAACATCGCAACCTCTACTTGCAGCCGCTCTTGCTGTTCCTTCCAATCGATCTCCATCCTTGCTTTCTCAGACACCATATTCGCCATCTTCTCCTTTTCTACCATCCACTTCTACTTAACCACAAAAGAAAAGACGATGCTTGTCAAGAGCCCTCCTCCTACTTCTTACTATGGTCCAATCAATTGGGTCGACTCCTCCTTTTATAATAGAAAACCTGTCCCGGGTTTATGTATAGTAAAGTTTAAGCCGATTGCCATTGATCTATGTCATAAATTTAGTATCCATAAAATCTTCCAATTGTACTGAACTATTTGGAAATCCGTCAATAACTCGATATGGCCCATGCCATTGAACTTGAAATTTTCCTAAAAAATTTTTAAATCGACTATCATAAAGAAGTATCAAATCATTTGGCATAAAAGCCTGACTATAAAGCAATTAAAAAGGGGTAGCATTGGTAGTAACTTTATACGCAGTACGGTACGTCCATAAAGCTGTGAATAACTTAGTATCCCAATCTGTTCCCGCTCCTGAAACTGTTTTTTGTTAAGATTTTATATAAAATTCTATTAGTCTTTTCCATTTGTCCATTGGCTCTAGGGTGATACAGTGTAGTCTTACGATGTTTTATCTCATATTTAGCCATAAGTGCTTTGAATGTATTATTTATAAAATGAGTTCTTCGATCACTAACTAATTCTCGTAGACAACCAAACCGTATAATAATATTTTCATACAAAAATGTTGCTACTATACTTGCACTATCAATTTTCGTAGTTACAACTTCAGTCCATTTTGTTACGTAATCCGTTGCTATCAATATATACCATTTTTGTCTATTTCTTGAGGCTGGTGCAATTGGTCCCACAAAATCAATTCACTATTTTTCAAAAGGCCCTTGAGCCAGAATTAGTATCAATGGCATTGTTGAAGTTCTAGTAGGTCGATCTGTTCTTTGACATGAATCACAATGACGGACAAATTGGTGGGCATGTGCAAACATTGTTGGCCACTAATAATCAGCTTGTAAAGCTTTACGAGCCGTGCTGTCCCTCGTAAAATGTCCACTAATACTGTCTAAGTGGCAACCTTCCAATATTGTACTCACTTCAGTCTGATAAATACAGCGTCGCAAAACTCCATCCTTGCCTTGTTTATATAAAGCTTCACCAATCATCGTATAAGGTGCTCATTTTAATATTAAGTGTCATTTAAGCTTTTCATTAAAATTAGGTGGAAAGGTTTGAAATATCAAGTATTGAATTATTTACTATACTTTGGAGTAATTACATCTACCGCAAATAGTTTCGTATTGGATAGTGCATCGTTAATGGGTTCATTATCCAATATATTGGATAATCGAGATAAATGGTCTGTATTGGAATGTGATTTTCCTGGTCTTACCTGAATAGTAAAGTCAAATTCCTGCAAGAGTAAAATCCATCATGCAATATGACCACTCAATTGAGGCTTATTAATCATATATTTTAAAGCATCATGGTTGACATTAAAAATAAATTTATAACCAAGAAGATAATGTCAAAACTTTTGTACAGAATAAATCATCCCCAATGCTTCTCTTTTGGTTGTTGTATAATTTCTTTCAACTGCTACCAATTGTCAAGGACAAGAACTCGATGAAAAAACAGTTCAGACAAGTAAGCCTTCACTCAAAGAAAAGTAACAAAATATGAATAATAAGTATGTATATTGAAAAGAGAAAC